AAATTTTTTAAATAATCAAAGTTAATGTTGTTGATAAATTTTTTAGATGATCAAAATTAGATATTCAATTTTATGTTTCATTTTGTTAGTACCATTGTCAACTCGGGAGTATTGAATGCGATATTATGTCATCCGCTATATGAATGACAATATTGAGACATGGGTTATTAGGAAGTTAGACGAGGTAAATATAAGTTACATTGTAATTTTTTAATTCTTTTCACATTTTTGATCAAGTTAACTAATGACTATATTATTTTTAATTTACAAGCATTTCAAGATAATGTGCCACATGAAATCGAGGAAATCAACATAACGATGGATACTTTGTCAACAATATTGCTTGAGAATTTTGAAAATATGAAACAGTTAAGTAATTCACATTTAAGTTTATTGTTTAATTATTAACTAGTTAAGTTGTTGATTATTAGGTGTAGTTGATTGAATAAGAATTGGATGTTAGTATTAAGATTGAATTTACGTCTTGAATTGTTTTGGCATTTTTTGCTATGCCAGTTGGAATTGGTTTGTAAATTGCAGCAAGGTCATATAGAAAATTCAGCACAGTATGTAAAAAAAATTCACAAACATTTCGTGGCAGTTATTGGATAATCACTGTGAAATGAGTTTTTAACAGTGGTTAAATACTATAACCATCGTTGAAAACAAACCTTTCACGGTGGTTTGTTTCATAAAACTGTAGTGAAAAGTTAACTTTCCATAGCGGTTTTCACAGTGGTTTTATATAAACCGCCGTGAAAAGTTTTTTTTCACTATAGTTATAAATCGCTTTGAAATTTTCTCTTTACAATGTTAACAGAATTCACTGTGGCTCCAAAACCACCATAGAAAGCCCATTTTAACCACTGTTAAATGGCTTTTTCGAGTAGTGATACCATCCAGTTGGTTCCCAAAATATCTAAAAGAACTTAATAGATGCCATATCATATCATTGCTATTGCAGCTAGGATTTTTTGTATCAGTCACAAACTAATTTACCTACTTCTCCTGTTCTTAATATAAAAGCTAATTATTAGAGAGTTAATATTGGCACTACTACAGAAAAAGCTAACTGTAGCACTTATTTTTTCACTTTTGTAGTTTTTCAAAATGCTACATTGAAACCTGCTATGAAAGATGTTGGGAATAAGTTGTAGCGCTTCTAAAAGGACTACAAATTTTTTTTTTAAATTTTTTTAAAATAGTAACTTTCTATAGTGCTTTCTTAGGAAGTTCACTTCTTATAGCCCTTTCTCAGGAAAGCGCTACAGAACATGTAAGCACTATATCAAGTTATCATTTCTGTAGCACTTTGTTAAGGAAGTGCTACATAAGTATTTTTTGTTTTAAAAAATTGATTGATATTCTGTAGCACTTTTTTAATGAAATGCTACAGAATATATAATTGTCTTAAAAAAATTCTATATAATTTCCAAAACCACATTTACAAAAACTTTACATAGAAATTCTCAACTGCCAGCAAAATTCAGAGATCAAATACATACAATATAATTATCAGAACAACATAGCTAATTAATTAGCAAACTTAGATCACTACTATGTATATTGACAGCAGTTGTAAACAAGATCAATATATTCTAATTCTACAATATAATAAATACATCTAACAGTGATGGTTACACTTACTAGTATTATATTTTTATTTAGTTCTCAACTAAAGGTGAAACATAGAAGAGAAGCTATAAAAACAATGCGCTCATATAAAGTATTGTTGGAACACATATATCTACACTACTCTTCAATTAATGACTTCATTTACTTGGTTGTTAGTGTACTTTGCGTAATGTGCATCTGCATAATAATGCGCAATAATTTACACAGCCAACCAACTAAAATCGCTAAAAATTAACTATTAGACAATAATTAAAGTTAATAAACAATATAAAGTTAAACTAATTAAAACTACTTACATTATTAAGAATAAAAGTTTGATCATGAGTAATAATATCCTTCATGAATCTCATAATATAGTAACCACAATAATTATTATTGGGTTGGAAAGCACACTACAGCAATATCATCAAATAGTTAAATCAATTTATGAATGCAAGTGGTTTATTTTCAAAACTTGAGTAAATTTAAATAGATAACTTAATCTCTTTCCACACGTAGCTTTTTGCGGTGTCTGGGGCTTTATTATAACCCGATGATGCAGAATCTCGATAGCCAATCAACGCACTAACAAAATAAAGTTGAAAGTAAATTGGTTCTTCAATCATACAAATATACACAGACGTGCATGGGCATCTAGTGGAAGTTTCCCAGGTTCAAGCCATCTCTTTTAACTAATAGTATCTAATCAACTAATTAATCCAGCACAACTCAATGATTTTCCACAACTGAAAACAAAACAAAAATCATATTTGCCAACATATATCAAATCTAAAATAAAAAGCATTAAAAGCCAACAAATTAAATATTGTGACATTACTTCTTTAATTATTCTTCTTGTTGTCTCATATCTTTATACCATTTTAACTTGCATCTCTCACAATATCATATTACAAAACTATGTAAATAGTTGTTTAAATAATGTTCTTTACCTTAATAAAATTTAATAGTATAACAACTTAAAAATTTCAGGTCCTAAAACTTCTTTTTAACTAATGGTACTTAATTAAATAATTCATATGGCATATGCCATCAATTTTTCATAGCCCATAACAATAAAGATCATATTTGCCAACATATTATTCCACCTAAAATAGAAAATAAAAAATTATAACTATCACACATTTCCACATGTAACTGATAATAATTAATCATATCTCATTAATTTCTGACATACTTCAAGTTTTCACCAATGAATAATTTTACAAAATCTAACCAACTAAAATAAAAAATATTAAGCAAGTTAAAATATTTATTACTAACAAACTTAAATTTGTAAGCTTTTAAAATAAAATTAGCTTAAAAAATAAAAATACTTACAATGTATTGTAGATTGAACTAAACTATATTGAGTTCTGTGCAAAAATAAATAAATAAAGTAAAAAGAGAGTGTGGGAGGGAAAGAGGGGTCAGGACAAAGGGAATAAAAATCTACAATGCATTGTAGATTGAGTAGAACTACATTGAATACCCTGTAAAAAAAAATAAATAAATAAAGTAAAAAGAGATTGGGGATGGAGAAGAGGGGTGAGGAAAAAAAAAAAATAGAAATAGGGATTGGGAAAGGTGGGTACAAGAAGGGGGTGTGGAGGGAAAGTTGGAATATGGACAAGGAAAGGGGAGTTGGGAAGGGAAAGTTGGAATAGGGATAAGGAAGGGGGAGTTGGGAAGGGAAAAGGGCGGGGACTGTGGGTAGGGACGGGAAGGAGGTAGGAATGAGGAAGGAAAAATGATATGGGGACAGAAAAAGGGTAGGAATAAGAACGGGGAAGGGGAAATGGGATGAGGACCGTGGGTGGAGACAAAAAATGAGGTGAGAATAATGGGTATGAAAAGTAGAAGTGGAAAGGGAAAATGGGAGGTACAAACAGAGTGGTGAGGACGCTTGGTGAAAAGGAAAAGGTGGTGAGTGTGGAGATAGGAGGGAGTTGTGGAGAAATGGAAAACAAGAAAAAATGGTGAAGACGAGCAGTGGGAGTAGTAGTAGTGAGGTATGACGGTGTGGGGGAAAAAAGAGGAAAAATAAAAAAAAGAGAGAAATAAAAAAAAATTATGTCACGTGCTATAGCGTTTATAGCAAGTGGCATCTCTTGTAGTGTTTTTTTAACCAATGCTACAGGAGATATTTATTTTTTAAAAAAATGCTTTTGTAGTGTTTTTTTGAGAAAGGGCTACAAGAAGCATCATACTAGCTGTATCACTTTTTTAGAAAATGCTAAAGAATATGCTTTTTTAATAAATTAATGAGTATTAGTTGTAACAGTTTGTTAATTAAATGCCACAAAACAGGCACTACAAATCAAATATTTTTGTAGTAGCGTGGTCCTATATGTAAGACCTATTTCACATACATGTTTATCAAATTGTTTTCTAAACTAACTTTGTTGATATTCCTCCAACAATAATTATGTAGGGGAGAGAAGGAGAAAATTAAGGAAGATACTCAAGGTATTTTACAAAAAGCACATCATATTAACTAATTTGGCTGTCATTTTTAATCTACTCAAATTAATTAATTAGTTCTTATATTAAGTATCAAATGAGTAACATCTAAACTGATATAACCTATGGTGTTAAACAGAACTAATAGAAGTGTTTTCGAGAGAGAGAGCATATATATGTTGATATTATACAGAGCTAACATTACATATATTGATATTATCACAGATGCTCTCGTGGGCCAAATCAATGACGCATCAAATACGACAGAATTCACATCTACACATATTTCATGGGCTCCGCGCGACGTACGTAACATCATTTGCGTGTGTGTGTGTGTGTGTGTGTGTGTCACATGCACGTGTTCTCCCACGGAAAGGTCATAAAACGAAAAGGTGTGTGTGCATTGATTAAGACCTGCAAAGCAGTACACACCACCTAGGTCTTTGTATATCTGCTTGGTTCTTGGATAAGAAGTTGTGAAACCTCACGCCATTAATTAAAGATATCACAATTGGTTGGCCAAAAAATAAATAAGGTGTCTGTTTCTGTCGCATAATGACGTGGCTTTAATTGTCACTAACTTAATTGTTGTCGCCATTTAATTTGATAAGTTAAAATTATTATTTGTTAAGTTGATGTGGTCATTTTGTTTTTTTATTAGATTTTAAATTCAGTGATGTAGGCAATTTTGCTAATTACTATAAAATTTAATTCCAAATTAATTGATAAGGACTTCACAGCAATTAAGTCATTTCAGGGTCTAAATTATTGGGATTCGCATATTTGGATGGTAATATAATTTTTGTATGTTTTTCCCTTATAAATATTCTCATCATACTTACACCATGAACCCAAAGCAAAGAAGCTAACATTCCCATCATCCTCCCTCCGTAGTTCATTAAGCTTTTTTTTGGTTGGCACATAAAATGGCCAAACCATTTTCACCAACTATAGAGTTCACTGTGAGGAGGTGCCAACCAGAGCTGGTGGCTCCGGCCAAGCCTACCCCTCATGTGGTTAAGTTACTCTCTGACATAGATGACCAAGCATCTCTAAGATTTCAAATTCCATTATTCTTCTTTTATCCTCACAAGCCTTCCATGGCAAGAAAGGACCCTGCTAAGCTTATAAAAAAGCACTCGCTAAAACCCTAGTCTTTTACTATCCTTTTGCAGGTCGACTTAGGGAAGGGCCTGGTCGCAAACTTATGGTAGATTGTAATGAAGAAGGAGTCATTTTCATTGAAGCTGATGCAGATGTTTCTCTTCACCAATTTGGTGACCCTCTTAAACCTCCATTCCCTTGCTTGAAGAGCTTCTTTATAATATCCTGGTTCAGAAGGAGTCACTAATTGTCCCCTCTTACTCATACAGGTTTACTCATATACTTTTTCTCTCATTAATTTGAATGTTCACAGCCGTCAAGCATTCAGACGTTATTTAAAGTTCCAAACTCTACGGTTTTAACAATCATATCATAAAAAGGATAGTGTTCGCCTTAAATTACTCCGACATGTGTTAATGTTGCTTATTGTTTTACATTTAATTAAGGTTACACGTCTGTCTGAAGTGTGGTGGATTCATTTTCGCTCTTCGCTTAAACCACACTATGAGTGATGGTGCTGGTCTTGTTCAGTTCCTCAAGGCTTTAGCTGAGATAGCACAAGGTGCTTGTGAACCTTCAATCCCTCCAGTTTGGCGCAGAGAGTTACTAATTGCGAGGGACCTACCTCGTATTACATGCAGCCATACCGAGTACGATGAAGTGCCAAATGATGACGATGATGAAACAAGAAACGAAGACATGGTCTACGATTCTTTCTTCTTTGGTCCTAACCAGTTAAAGCCCATTCATCGATTGTTCCCTCATCACCAACATCATCAAAACTCTACCTTTGAAGTACTCACAGCATTCATATGGCGTTGTCGCACCATAGCTTTCCGGCTTGAACCACACAAGGAGGTTCGTTTCATGGCCACTAGAAATGTAAGGGGTATACAGTCGAACCCTCCATTGCTACCATCGGGTTATTACGGCAACGGTTTCGTGTTCCCGGCCGTCGTCACCACCGCCGGAAAACTCTGCAGAAACTCATTTGGGTATGCTTTAGAGCTGGTCAAGAAATCAAAAGCTATGGCAACAGTAGAGTACATACAATCTGCAGCAGATCTCATGGTGATTAAAGGACGGCCTAGTCTTACTCCCTTAAGGGCTTGGGCTGTGTCTGATGTAACCCGTGCTGGTTTTGAAGACGTTGATTTTGGTTGGGGTAAGGCAATATATGGTGGACCAGCAATGCCTGGTGCTGGAGACTTCCTTGGAGCAAGCTTCTTTGTTCCACATAAGAATGCAAAAAAGGAGAAGAAGGCATTGTCGTACCAATTTTCTTGCCACGCAAATCTATGATGATATTTATGAAAGAGTTAGAGAACAACATGATAATTAGCAAACTATGATAACTAGCCAGAGATCGTGCTTTGTGATTCACCTGAAGTTTGTGTGTACGCATGTATAAGCGTTCATAAATATGAACTTATGGACATATAGGAGGCAAATCGTTTGGGTGAATATACTATTGCTAGTGTCTACATTTTCTCATTTCACGAAGAAGCTGTTTTCAGAGAACCTATTAGGCCGCTTTTTGAGAGGACAACATATGAGCTGGCTCGAGTGTTCTAATGGTCTTGGATCCTAGTCCTTGCATTTCTAGTTAGTCAACAGCGCAGAGTTCGTATAATTAAGATGCGTACCATGTGTTTGATATGTTGCTCCCGTGACTTTTTCTGTCTTGTTCACTGAAAAAGTATTGATATTCTGTTTCAGCTATGAAGTAGGAATTATAAAATTAAAAACACTCGTATTCATATTTTCAAATTAAAATTCATGGATCTTAGTACATCATTCATTCCTTCCATATTATGAATTGGTTTGGTTTGCACAATGACAAGCACAAGGGTTTTTCATATGCTTTCACTTGCTACATATCACGCAGTACAAAGGATTTTGATGGATGGTTGCAAGGATTGATTGATTGATGATGTTCAAGAAAAGCTTGCAATGAGAAATAACCATTTTGCTACAAGTTTGCTTCTCCAAAACTATAAAACGTGTTAAATCCAAAACTATAAAATGTTGTAAACAAGAGGCTGAGTAGGAGAAAGAAGACATTGGTACGATGACCATTCTGGACATCACAACCTCGCTTTGTCTTTACTTTCGACCTCATTCTTAAGGACACCATGTGTTCAACGTTGGATCATTTTGTAAAATCTCATGACAGTCTTTTAGTTAAAGATGGAAGAGTCATTATTACTGAAGCTTCTTCTTATGTATAGCGATTTGAACATCAACTTATTATTAGAAGGGCAAAGATCTACTTATAAACGATGCTTTGTGTTTTGGGATTGCCAAAGACGGAATTTACTTATGCATTTAATTATTTCAAAACTTCTTGGGTCACTTGTATTTTCATTTCCTGAAATGGGTTGGATCTCTCTATATGGCTAGTCTTGCTTGGGTCATAGAGAAAAGTGGATGTCCTAGAGCTACATATGTGTTCTGCGCTCGGCCAACATGTGTCCAAGCTCGAGACAGTTAATGGATTTTCAATGTCGGCTTGCATTCTAGTTGTCATTATGTCAATGTCTCTCTATCTTTCCATGTCAAGGTGGCAACGACTACTTAAGCTTTTGAAAGCTACTTGGTTCTATTTTGTTGATCAGCACAGTCAAAATATGCATTCTTGGATCAGGAGGACAAGGTTGATTTTATGGGACGTAATTCTTAATGTCATGAAAGGGTCTAATTACACTATGGCATAGGTGGTAATGTAGGTTGAATTTGCAGGTTCAACTTGTCAAAAAATGACGTGTTGAGTTGATAAAATGTGAGCTTGTTTTGAGGCAAATCTTTTTAGCCCATATTCGCCAACTCACAATTCGTCATGAGCTAACCTTTTTTTTTTAAAAAATTTTTTTGAAAGTTTTTATTTTAATTTTAATAAGAAATTTTTTATCATTTTCACTTAATTTAAATATAGTTTGCACTTGTTAAGGGTAGGGGTGGAAACAGGCCAGGCGGCTTGTCAGGGGCCTATGGCCTGGCCTGCATTTGGCCTGGCCTGGCTTGGCCTGTTTCCCAAAAATGATAGACTCAGGCCTGTTTAGTTAAAACAGCTAGGCTTAGGCTTTTTAAAAAGCCTGTGTAAGCCTGGTAGGCCAGACTGGGCCTTGTTAAGAATTTATAATTATAATATATAAAAAATTAATTAATGCTATATTGTTAATGTGTTTTTTAATTTATTTTTTAATTTTAATATATAGTTAATAGCTTAATCTTTCTTAGATTTTGAAGTTTAGATGACAAGTGAAGATAAAAATATAATTTAAAATAATAATATTAATAATAATGTGATTTTTAAATCTTAAAAATATAAAAAAATAGGAAAGAAAAATTTGTTTCAAGAATGATTAAATAACTAACTTACGTATTATGTAATTTAAGTATGATATCCTCTTTATTCATTATTAAAATTATTATTTTTTCCTCTTTATTTATTTGTCTTAATTTTAATTTTTTGTGTGTGTACTTAAACGTAGTCTTATCCAAATTTTAAATATAATACAATTAGTTTTCAATAACATTCTTATAAATTATAATTAAGATTTAAAATAGTAGGTATGATGACTAAAATTTAAATAAAAGACAAGACTAAAAATTTAATTATTATGTACGTTTTTTTAATCTTAGATTTTTTTAAAAAATAATTATTATAATTTGAATTTTTTAAAAAATACAGGCCTTTTAACAAAGCTTCAGGTCAGGCCAGGCCTTTACACAAGCCAGGCTAGGCTATGAAAAATAAGCTGTAAAAGGCCACAGGCCAGGCTCAGGCCAATAGGCTCCAAAACAGGCCTGGCCTGTTAAGAGCAAGGCCTGGCCTGTTTCCACCCTTAGTTAGGGGCTTTGATTCTATATTTGATTTCTTTTTTTAAAAATTATTTTATCATTTCTATATTAATAAAATAAATATTAAAAATAGATTATATGTTTATATGATTTGTAAGT